TGATAGTATTTTTGAATACTATGCGTCTCTATACATAATTTAAATCACTTTTCCTGTTAAGTTTGTGTACTTACATACATTAAAATACGATTTTTCAAGTGTACGAATATTTATTTCCCCCCACTGTAGCTGAGCTCACGACGAGGTCCGGAGAGTGGCGGAACGCCTTACTGGAACTCACTAAATTGCATCTAGCCCAATCAATTGATAAGCAAATTAATATTATTAAAACTTGCTCTAGAAATTTACTAGTAAAACTCCCCCTTGAAGCTTCTTCGTATTGAATACATTCCTATATGTGAAGTTGATGTGAATTACCTTACATACAACATTCACCTTGTATTTTTTGAATCGAAGTTCTGATGTTTCGAGGTTCAATTATGTTACCGTAATCAAGCAAAATTGACTCGGCTTAACATAATAAAAAAGTAAAAACGACCACACACCACCTATGATGGTGCATTGCTGAGAAAGAATATTTTTACATCTCGAACAAACACATCCCATGATTTGATTCAAACCATCGATTGCACGAGCTGAGCTGAAAAATTTTTTCTTCGTCTACCTAGGCCTATCAAAATTTTGCTCGCTGGACGAACTGTTTTTTACGAAGTTTTGCTCGCTATCTGCATGCAAAGTTATTTCGGTTTTTGTGACAATGCATCATCTCGAAATCTTCAACTAAAGTACTAAAAATTGTTGGATCAGCGTAGCATCGTTTACAAATAATATATAACAATTTTGTTTGTTCTTATTCCTGTCTGTTAGACCAGCATAAATTTCCCGCGAGTTTTTTGGGCTGATTTGACAGAAGGTCATACCAAGTAATTAAGATCCGTCACCAAATGATAAGTTCTGACCACACAATATGAATCCATTTCATCATTCATCATATAACAAATTGATATTTTCAAATCAGTATTGATATGCTCTAGCCAAAATTAAAGAATGAATCTGTTCATATGTTAATTTAATGAGCTAATGGAGATATCAATATTTCAGAATAACCGTATATTTTTGCAGTCGACGATCTGGAAAGGACAAAAAACGAGTTTCCCTTCAAATTAAAATTGTTCTTCCGTGATTAAATAGTTGGGATAAGGGGCGAATTCGCATGAACGTGTAAATAAAAACGATACTCAATTATGATTTTACAAAGCGATGACATTATCATGTGGATCAGAGGAAGAAACGATGCGCCGGCCTAATTCCTGCTAACTATTTATATTAAATGCATCTTTAACTCTCCTCTCAGGCAGCGTAAACTAAAGGGCGCTTCTGAGAAAACTGTCTGTTCATAGAAAATTATAATTCATCTGAGATTATATTACAATAGATTATATTATGAATCACACTCGTTATTTAGCCGAGGGCACGTGACAACGATATCCCCTAACCTAATGCTGCCATATATTCCAGGAAATCGACGACCACCTCCTTCACTACACCGAAGTTAATGATCACAACAGAATTAAGGAACAGATGAAGAAGCTAGAAGAATATGTTGAAGCGGCTGTTAAAATTGGAGCGCAGGCTGTGACCCTCGCTGGTATATATTTATCCCGCCGTCCTTAGTGGCTAAACAAAACAAAATAATAATAACGGCTCTGGATTATCGTGGTGTCATTGAAGAATTATAATAGTCACTTCTATACCCGTATTAAAAAGAAATTTTGCATCCGTACAAAATTAAATTATGAACTGTTTAAGGAGAGTATGACTAATGATAATTTATCCTATAATATTACCATGGACAATTATTTACGAATTGTTGGAAAACGCCTTTGATAATTGAAGGTAGAAACATATATCCTGTCCGTTGATATTTTCGATTTATTGTGTTCAATTTTTTCAGTGATAAAATTCTTCTTGCAATGGCATGTGCATATTTTCTTAACTCATTTTGATGTAAACAAGAATTGAATATCATTCTGCATATAACCAGACTTATATGAACGTTTGTGCATCACAAATGACTGCCCTGACAGAATGACCATTTGGATTGAATTTTTCAGTCGAGTGACCTACTGAACATAGTAGGTCACTCTATGCTCAGTAGTGACCTAGATAGTACTGTCGAGTGACAGTACTATGTTATTTGCATACACTAAGATTGATAATTAGTTATTGTAGTAGTGATCGTGATTAGTTGTGTAGTAATGATTGTAGTAGTGCGGCTGAGAATATAAAAATTTGCAATTCTTTTAAACAATAATTGTCTGAAGCGTTCTTGCTCACCCATTCCTATTAGTATACATCCCAATTCTTTTTTTTTTAAACCCCGACTCAAATCCTGAAACGGAAAGTAAAATGTAGTTCCTATTTATATCCAGCCTGTAAGTCGTTCAATGGCAATAAATTTTACAAATTTATGTGATAGCGATGAAAATTATCCTCGTTATGCTTTTCCAAGTCTGTCCGTACCAATAATACCATTGTACAATTATATTTGTTTAGATATTTTGTCGAATTTCACGATCAATTGTCATGAGCGGAACCAATAATTTTGTCCGTTTTGACTGATGAGTGATATAGATCTTCGACCATCTCTAATTACTTTATTCCAAATAGATAATTTTTGCCATGAATTCAGTTCCGTTAAGTCACCTACTATAACCGTTACCAAAAGTCACGACGGGCTGATCTGCAACGTAAATATAATATTATAGGAATGTGAATCTTTTTCTTGATTTGAATGCTTGGATTGATTTTTATGTGGTAATTAATGACATGTCAATAATTATTGCACAGTGCGGCCTTAATAGGAATTATTTACCTCTGATTTTTTATCACTATCATGTATACAAAGATAACTATTTTTCAAAGTTTATGTCTCTTGTAAGCCTGGCACCAAAAATATATGGGGGCTATGGGGGCGCGTATCCAGGATACATCTGGCACCAGAAAAATATTGGGGCTGTTGGGGCGCGTATCTAGGATACTTCTGGCACAACAAAAATATTGGGGCTGTTAGGACGCGTATCCAGGATATACTGTGGAACCGCAAAATATAGGGCGCATAACCAGAATACTTGTGGACACACAAATATATTTAGGTTGAAAGGGCGCGTGTCCACTATACCTTTGGCATCAAAATTGTATAATAGTTGCGGGGGAGCGTATCCAGGATACATATGGCACCGCAATACATTGGGACTGTTGGAGCGAGGTGAGTATACAGGAAACTTATTTTGTCGAGATATTGTCCGAACCTGAAATTTAACTGTCAGTGAGAGAATTACATTATCATATAAAGTGAGGTAGTTTGGATCCGAAACAAAATGGATTTAAAAATAATAGGCATTTAAAAATTGCTTCTTAAAGACAACACTTCTAAAGAATACAGTGTCTCCGATGCTACACATCTACAACGAATTTCTAACTTTAATTCCATATATTAAAAAAATTATTTTTAAAATTTTTCTTAATGTATGAAAAAATTTACATTTTCAAAATTATTTATTATGCAAATTGATTCATGCATTGTCTCCGACTTTACGTAAGTGGACAAAATTTCAGATCGATTGGAGAGGTAGAAGTGTGTTGAATATCGATTATAAGACTTGTAGCAGGCAAACAAACAAACAACAAGAAGTGAAGCTAAAGAGAAGTGTTGTAATGTGGTATATCCATTTCATTAGGAAAGGGACATAATCGGTACTTTTTCATTCTGAATTTCTATTAACATAGTTGGAGAAATAGACGAACTAAAATTTTCCGCTTCATCCAAAGATTCACTATCATTGTCACTATCAGTATCTAAATCACTCAATGAAATCGTCATCAACGTTAGAAAGTTACCAGCATCGTGGCCACATCTTGCTGGATTTTCTACCATCTGGCAACACACAGCAGAGGACACAGCATCGATCTGAGCATGCATTTTTAAAGTTTGGAACTCTACAACTATATTATTCAATAAAAATATTTGCTGCTACCACAGAAAAATGGGATATCTGAACTTTTAACACAACAAACGGAACACCGGGAATACTTAATTACAAATCGTCAATCTAAAATTAGCATATCCTAAAATTTCGGTCAAATCACCGCTTAGACCAGTTAGAAACTTTCCACTAAAATCCATAATTTTCAAATTTGGATTCCGCTGCTTCAGCAATCGTAGTGTATTATCAAACAAACTTGAGCACCTGTATCATCGAGAGCACAGAACTGAACACCATCAGCTTCTACTGTACAGCTGGGGTCCGAAGTCCGAACATTTTGATTAGTAATAATTTTTGACGAACTAGTTACCTGTCATCTTTCTCTATCAGATCACACTTATATTATTTCACAGCATTTGGATGACAAAAATGTACATTATTAAAATTACTTTCATCTCGGCTACGGCTCTGTATCCTGTCAAACAGGGGGTTAAAATGAATACCTGACTTGCATTGTAGGTGCAAAATGACAGGATCTGAATCAACACGTTCTCTATAAGTGATTGGTCGTTGAGTTCCATAATGTACCTGAATTTCTACTTGGTACATCTTACAAGCGATTAACATTAATTCACGGCGAGGTAACTGACCAGCTTGTCCATAATCCACATCTGATGTTTAAATTATTAATCGAGCTTTATATTAAATTCCTCTGCATTGTCGGCCAAATAATCTCTCAGTTTCACTCTAAGGCTAAGAGGACTGTCTGGAATTGGGCATCTCAATAACTTAGACAAAGGAATATTGCCTCATATATTATCACCTCCGCCTTTGCCTGGATAATAAACTTCAATCCATCTGGCAAGTTATAATTACTAATTCCTATTATATAGGAATTGGTCCTATTAAAATAAAATAGGTCCTATTAATGGCGCACTGCGCAATAATTATTGACATGTCATTTGGTAACACATCAGAATCGACACAAGCATTCAAATCAAGAAAATGATTCGCATTCCTGCAATATTTTATATTTTCATCGCAGATATGCCCGTCGTGACTTTTGGTAACGGTTGTTGTAGGTGACTTAACGGAACAGAATTCAAAGCAAAAATGCTCGATTTGGACTATAGTAATTAGAGGAGTTTTAAGATCTTTATCGCTCAGCAGACAGAACAAACAAAATTATTGATTCCGTGCATGACAATTGATCAAGAAATTCGACAAAATATCTTGCCATATATAATTGTACAATGGTATTAGTGGTAAGGACAGACTTGGGAAAGCACAAATATAATTATAGTCGTTATCGCATAAATTTGTTAGATTTATTTCGAGCGAACGACTTCAAGCTGGAATAAAGCTAGAATTTCATTACCTACCGATTCACGATCTGCGTTGGGTTTAAAAAAAGAATTGTAACGAAATCGGAAGGATGCAAATAAGAATGTATGAGCAAGAATGCTGCAGTCAATTATTGTTTTAAATGAACTGCAAATTCTTATATTCCCAATTGCTCCGAAAATTCAATGGTCTTATGAAAACAAGAAATTTTCAAAGGTGAAGTTCATAAAGGGTCACTACTGTAATAACTAATTTATAAATCTTAGCGTATGCAAATGGCATAATACTGTCAAAAACACTCAGTTGTTCGCTCGATTGTAGGAATCACTTCAAATGGTCATTCTGTCAGGGCAGGCATTTGTGATGCACAAACGTTCATATAAGTGTGGATACATGCAGAATGATATTCAATTCTTGCTTACATCAAAATGAGTTAAGAAAATATGAACATTCCATTGCAAGAAGAATTTTTAGTTAATTTCCAAAGAAAATTTGTTGAGAACTGCTCTGTAGCCAAGCACTTGACAGAGTTGACTAACGGCCCTGTAGAGAAAGTATTTGATTGTACGCCAGAAATGAATAAGCTAGCTTATATGAATCGTTGAAGAATGCACTTTTGAAGGATGCATCCTTGATTGGCTATGAAATCAGTAAAATTGGTGCCACATCATGAGCAAAATAGGGAGTTATATTGGTTAGAATTACGTGTTGAATAGAGGCCTTCGATGTAGGTGCAAGTACGATCACCATCCCTTCTACTGCAGGAACATTTATTTAATATTATATGAAAAAAGTTCGAATACATAAAAAATTTGCATTTAATTCTGAAATATCGTCGGGCTGGTTGATGTGCGTATGAAATCGGCACTGTGCACTGTGTCGTCATGCATATTTACATCGAATTAGATGCCAGGACGTCAAACTCATGCAGAAATTCCTGCTTTTGCTCATATCGAACATGCGTGTTGCATGAGAGTTCTATGGTTGTTCATTCGGGCCGATATGTGCCAACTAGTTTCTGTAATTTTAGGATAGAAGTTCATTCAAAAGATTGTTTTCCATGACAACAAACAGGATTACGAGTGGTGATATGAGTTAAGGTTTAAATGAACAGTGAATTGATTGGAGCGAAGGCACGTTCCATGGAATTCCTGCACGTAATGCAGGTCTCCAGGTGAGTGAAGAACTGATGCCTTGAAGAGTTTAAATATAATATATTGAATTGACTTGATATGTGTGAACCAGTTTAACTTGATCAAATACATGTTTGGAAACGGCCGCTGACAATGACGGCACCAATTTATGACGGCATGACTGGCAACAGGACAACTCATATGATTATGAGACCACATGAATAAAGTAGGTAATATTGAAAGTAGGTAATATTGAACAGGTATTATGCATAGATGCTAAGAATGCTAAGAATGCGGCGCCGTTGTTTCGAGACCGTGGGAAAGGTTAGTTTACATTGAACGTTGGCGCTCAGCGCGAGGGACATTCCTTTCCAGGAATGTGGCGTCGGTTCGAGGGAATTAGGCTTAACTGTGGGCGACTCTAGCGTATATAAGGACCTGAGAATTCGCGCCAAGGGTTGTTGGTTCTAAGGAGTTGACCGTCGCGCACGTACGGTCTGCAGTCAGCGGGCGTAACGGCTGCGGCCGTCAGGCCGGCGGTGTTACCATTTTCGAACATTGACGGTTGACGGTCGCGAGAAACCCAGACTTATCGAAGCAGCCAAGATCCCTGTGAGCGCGTCAAACATGTACAATGGACGGCTACGACTTTAACATATTATACGGTCAACATCATCGCTACGGCTGCGACTCAGCCGTGAGACAACGCGAGCAGCCACGAGTTGTACAACGATAATAACGCACGTCATCAGAAGATCTAAGTTTCGAGCTCTACACAAGAATCATCAGTACGATACGGTCACGATTTCCATCAAGAAGAAGCGGTACGATTGCATTTATCTTCAACCACCGAAGCACCGCATTGAGCCGAAGTAACATCATCGACGATGAAGACTACGCCACTATTCTGAAGTACGGTCGTTGTAAAACAACCTACGGCCAGACTGGCCGTGTGGCATCTATATCAGCGAGATACGACAGCTAGGAAGAAAGAGCAACTGTGAAGAGAGACGCGCGGTACAGCTGCAGTACGGCCACTTTAAATACGGCTGCAATGCGCGGTGACAGCCGCGGTACGGTCGCTGAACACACGACCGTGACCGGGTGCGCGAGTTACGGTCGTTGACAACTGTCATACGCATTTGAACTGCAACGGATCACACGCTTTTTCCGGTAATATTAGATGATTTAATGGACTTTTGATTGGACTTTTGATTGTGATCAGATTACATTTTTCAAGTACTAGAGATTTTTTGTTAACGTAGGATGTGAACTTAAATTTCCCAATTTAATGTGAAATGTATCAGTGTTTCATTAATACCCTCTCTTTGTACTATATTTGCCATAACCTGTCCAAAAAGAGAACCGTATATCATCGTGCCAAATCAAGTGCCACTCGGCAAACCACCTGACAAAACGATAAGTAACGAATACCGGTATCTTGAACCTGAACCTGATCGTAACGTAA